GCTTGAGCAAATCGAGGCACAAACGGAGGACAGTGCTACAGTACTACTTGTCTTAGTAGATGTCAAGACAATTTGAAAACTGATATAATCATTTTCCTAGGTAGACATAATCACATTTGTTTCACTGAAATCAACTGACTCATCAGGACAGTTACAGATATATCTATACATTCAGAATATTTGAACAAATTTCATATTGATCTGAAATTGCCTCATTCAAGGCAATATTTAGAACTAAGGACTTAGTTTTTGTTTATTTTCTGTTTTGGGAAGGGGTTACACCTGGTGATGCTCTGTAGTATCTCTCGCTCTGCACTCAGGAATCACTCCTCGTGATGCTCAGGGGATCACATGGGATGCTGGGGATCAAATCCTGGTTGGTTGTGTATAAAGAAAATATTCTACTTGCTGTACTATTGCTTCAGTACCAAAGGACTTACTTTTTATAGAGGGTCCAGTAAATATCACAGAAGAAGAATAATTTTCTCTCATCCCACTGGTTTTGTACTTTACATAGCGGAAAACATAGTTAGTCGGACTCTTCTTTATAGTCTAAGTTGAAATCAAGAAAATTTGGTTGGCCCTAAGGAAAATCCTTAGCTCAGAGAAGCAGTTCTCAGAAAGCGGCTAAAATCCTGAAGCTTTTTCTGAAGCCAGAGATTTTATATTGTGTTATTTGACATTCTGAAGAGCACAAGGCTTAGAAGAAGATGAGCTGATGTCTTTATTTATGCAGACAGAAGCAATATTTGAAAATCCTCAGAATTCAGTTATGAGTGCTAAACAATAGTAAATCTGAAATATTATTATTGACAGAGCTAATAACAACCACCATAAAACCTACTTCTGATTTGTAAAAAATTTTATTATTAAAAATGCAGATTTATATATGATAATATAAGCTCATTCTTTAGCTTTTATGTTTGAACAGAATTTCATGTTTAAACAGAATTTCCTCTTCCTACTTTTGACCCCTAAAGTAAGAGCTAGATAGGAAGAATAATTTACTGTGTATAAACTTTGTGACAAGAAAAATAAATTTTAACATAAAAATAGATTTATGAGCTGGAGCGATAGCACAGCGGGTAGGGCGTTTGCCTTGCATGCAGCCAACCAGGCCAACCCGAGTTTGATTCTTCTGCCCCTCTTGGAGAGCCCGGCAAGCTACTGTGAGTATCTCACCCGCATGGCAAAGACTGGCAAGCTACCCATGACATATTCAATATGCCAAACACAGTAACCAGTCTCACAATGGAGACATTACTGGGTCCGCTCAAGCAAATCAATGAACAATGGGAGGAGAGTGCTACAGTGCTACAGTGCAAAGGGAAATTTTCTTGGAAATTATGTTAATGAGTTTTCTTCATAAAGGGAAGAACTAATATATTTTTACTTTTTGCGCAATAGCACAGCGGGTAGGGCGTTCGCCTTACAAGCGGCCAACATGGCCGACCCGAGTTCGATTCCTCCGCCCCTCTCGGAGAGCCTGGCAAGCTACCGAGAGTATCTCGCCCGCACGGCAGAGCCTGGCAAGCTTCCCGTGACGTATTCGATATGCCAAACACAGTAACAACAAAGTCTCCAACAGAGACGTTACTGGGCCCGCTCGAGCAAATCGACGATCAACGGGAGGGCCTTTACCTTTTTTTTACCTTATAAAGAACAAAGTGTGTGTGTGTGTGTGTGTGTGTGTGTGTGTGTGTGTGTGTGTATGCACATGTGCACTTTGGGGAAGGGTGCGCAGGGCTTATATCTGGTTCTGTGCTCTGTGGTCACTCTGGTAGTGTTTGGGGAACCATACGGGGTGCCAAGATCAAACCGTGGTCAGCTTTGTGCGAGACAAGTGCCTTATCCCTTAAACTGTCTCTGTGGCCCCCTAAAAGTAAAATAAGTATAACATTAGTCAATCTATTTTCCTAGGTTAAGGTCAACTAGAGGCAATTGTGTCATAAACAGACTTAGAAATTCTAGTACTTGCACTGGAGCAATAGCACATTGGAAAAGGAGCTTGCTTTGCATGCAGCTGACCTAGGTTTAATTCCCAGAAACCCATATGGTCCCCTAAATCCCATCAGGAGTGACCACTGAGTGCAGAGCCAGAAGTAAACTCTGAGCACCAGTGGTTGTGGCCCAACTCTCCACCACCACAAAAAACCTACTGCTTAAGACATGCTGTTCTTTTGCTTAAAATTCTTCCATACCTCATTAATCCCTTTATTTTTTGGGGGGATTATTGATTTATTTAGCTATTTATTTAATTGAATAACTGTGAGGTACAACATTACAAAGTTGTTGATCTTTGGGTTTCAGTTATACAATATTCCACATCCATCCCTTCACCAGTGTAATTTCTCAGCACAAATGTCTCTAGTTCCCAGTTTTCCTGCCACTCCTCCTCCCCCAACTTCTCTGTGGCAGTGACTTCTTCTTCTCATTCTCTCTCTCTCTCTCTCTCTTTCTCTCTCCCCCCTCTCGCCCCCTCAGTTTGGATATTATGGTTTGCAATACAGATACTGAAAGGTTACCATGTATATCTCTTTACCTACTTTCAACCCTCAGGAGAGGGGGACAGATATAGAATGGCTGCATTCACTTGTGAGATTTAAAAAAAATTTAGAATGAGACTAATACCCAAGGCCAGGGAAAATAGGGGCCAGGAGGACTGGTCAATGGTTGGAAATTACCACAGGTGTGTATGTGTATGAAATGAGTGGAGGAGCCAGGAGGGTGAAAAGTAGCTAAGGTAGAGGAGTGGCCAGTATGACAATAGTTGGAAATGATCATTCTCAACAAGAACTGACCATTAATCCCTTTAGTAGACCATGTTCTTCCTCTAGATCCTGTTAAATATTACTTTATAGGTGAACTTCCTGAGCACCCTGTCTTAAGCAAGTTATCACTTCTGTGCCAGATATTTATCCCAGGCTGTTTTATCAGCTTCTCACTTCTTTCTGAATACCTTTAAAGGTTTGTGGTAACAATTTGGTAACTTCTTTTAACTTTAGATGGAAGTTCTATAATTCTGTTTGATTATTAAGTCTTGGTCCAATGTTCAGTTTTGGTGCCTAATTGAATGTGTCCTAACACAATTGGGTCATGAAACCTGATATCCCCTCCACCACCACTTAGATAAATCCCCTTGACAAAATTCCTTAAGTTTCCTGGGATTCAGATTTCTCATCTTATGTTGAAGGGATTAACAGAAAATTCCAATAAAGCATCTTGACTTTAGGGCAAAAGATTCTAAGTATGTTGTTATATTTCTAAGATGCTGATAACTATTTTTGCCACACTCACCGAGAAGGTATGGGTCTTTTCATTATTTCTAAATAAAAACAGGTATTTCATGGAAAATATATAAAGTATACATATATACAGGCAGGTGCATTCACTTCTCTTTTATTGACTTAAATAATTAGAGGGAATTTTATCAAGTTTTGACAATATTTTGTGCTACTCTGTACATTTTAAACAGCATTTAACTGGTTCTGCTTATTTCCATGAGAAACAGTTGAAAATGTGATTGGTGCACTCACTATTATGTGACCTTGGATAAGTTCCTCAACCATCTGAGTCTCCTCTATGTAAAATACATGAAATAGACCACTTATATATGAGATTATGTAATGCTTAAATGAGATGACAGGGAACACAAAAGCTGTTCAGGAAATGGTGGTTAACTGCAATGAATCTTATCACACAATTAATTTAGCAATGAGTTTCATTGTGTGAGGACATATGAGATTGCCTTTAATATGAGCTGTATGAAATGCAGGTCATGGTAAGTGGAACATATCTGATGTGTGGCATTCACATTTTTTGGTTTAGGAAAGCCAGGGTCATAGCTGTGTGTCATATTTTAACATTAGCAGCTTCCTAGGATGGGAATTTCACAAGGTATTGATATTATTATTATTATTATTATTATTATCATTATTATTGTGATAATAATGATATCCAGTTGGTGGGTGTCAGGCCTGGAAGGTGGGGGATCTGGGTGGAGGAGGCCCCACTCGCCATCTGAGCAGGCTTGGAGATCTACGCCCCGGGTCCCGCACACCTGTGTTCCTCTGCCGGCCCCTTCACGCGTGTAATCCCATCAACGGCCAAGACCCAGAGACTATAAAACCCTGGTCCTGGAGGAGAACAGCACAGAGTCTCCTTCCTCCGCGCCTGGCTGTCCTCACCGGGGCCCCTTGGAGGAGGGTGGGTTGAGTTTCCCTTCCCACCCCGAGCAGAGCCCTGGCAGTTGAAAACCTTCGGTTCCAGCTTCAACCATGCTTAAGACCACTCTCCATATGTTTGGAGAAGCCTCACGCAGGAAGGAACTGGCAGAGGAACCCAGGTGTGTGGGACCTGGGATGTAAATCTCCAAGCCTGTTCGGATGGGGACTAGGGCCTCCTCCACCCAGATCCCCCACCTTCCAGGCATTACACCCACCAACTGACCCCGATGCCGTGTAATCCCATCAATGGCCAAGACCCAGAGACTATAAAACCCTGCTCCCGGAGGTCTTACTCTGGTGAACCTGGCGGGCTACCAAAAGTATCGTGCCCACACAGTAGAGTTTGGCAAACTCCCCATGGCGTAATCAATATGCCAAATACCAGAAACAATGATGGGTCTCATTCTCCTGACCCTGAAAGAGCTTTGAATGTGGCACTTTTTAAAATCTCAGGGCTAGGATGAAGGAGACGTTACTGGGGCCTGCTCAAGGCAATCAATGACCAACAGGATGACTGTGATTATTATTGTAGAACTAAATTCAGGAGCTTGGCATTTCTTAAAATTCCACTTTGCTTATCCTCAAGAGATACTGAAACCTAAAAGCAATATAAAATTATTTTAGTAAAGCAAAAAATTTGAAAGACCCAAGTATGTTTTCTTTACCAAAAACGGGAAAAGATTTCCAAACAGGGTGAGAAATGAATAGTCTTCTTCCCCTACCAAGGTGTTATTATTAGCAATTGCATTTGAAAATTTGAGGGCTGTTACTCACCAATCATGAAAATAATTTTACACTTCCTCAAATCTTCTGCGAAACCTTTAAAATAAGAATAATCTGTTATTGGCAAAAATACTGACTGTAATAAAAGTAGCTGTACTCATGTTATAAAAAGCTAACTCTTGTCATTTTATTTGATAAGAAGCTTTAAGTTGGAATAATGTGTGAACAGACCATAATTTATAGGCACTGATGACTATTTAGCTTTGTTCCCAGACTCAGTTCCTTATTTTCATTTTAACACAGACTGTTAATTTTAGGTGGTAAAACTCATTAAATAGCAGGAGTCACAAGGAAAAGAATTATTAATTTTCATAAATCTTAGCTTAGCGTTCTTTCTTTTCTTTTTCTTTTTAATGTTCACTAATCTTATTTTTAATAAAGAGGAGCTAAAACACAGTCTAGAAGGCAATATTTTGAAAAAATAATTTCTTATTACATAATATAACACTACTTTCCATTTAAGGTGGTGACATAAATTTTCTTTTAAAAATAAAACACATTTAGGTAATAGCACTGAGTCAATTTAAAGAAAACCACAAACAATTTATACAAGTAGTATAGAGGCAAAACAAATATCACAAAGGTGTTAAGTGATGACTGAATTTTGGAAAGCATTGCTTTAAAGCAAAAGAATAATTATACATTTTTGTCAAAATGGGACATTCTTTCTTTGTAATTTGTACAGTCCTAAAGGATCTCCAATAGTCATAGGTTAAGAAGGAACGGGAGGATAATTAGGTACATTTTTATGTCAACTGACGACCTAGACAAGTGACTTACTCTCCTTGAGCCTCAGTTTTTCCATCTGTTGTACCCAGTGATCTTGACTATCTCTAGGTTCAAATGCCTGTGATCCTATAGTTTCTATAAAAGACCACATATAGTAGTAGTCCCCAGGACTAGAGAGATAGTACTAGGATTAAGACCATGCATTGCACGTGGCCAACCCTGATTAAATTCCTGGTATCACATAGTCACTGAGAAATTTCTGAGTTCAGCTCAGGAAGCCCCTCAGCACAATCAAGAATTACTAGGCGGGGTCCCTGGACCTCTTGGGCGCCATTTGTTTTTTGTTTTGGGGTTATACCCAGCTGTGCACTAAATTTACTTCTGGTACTCAGGGATCCATGTGTGGTGCTGGGGATTAAACTGGGGTCAGCTGCATGCAAGCCAGGCACCTTAACTCCTGTATTATCTTCTACTGAGCACCACCTTGAAGAACCTCAAGGGGAAAAAAAAGCCTCCTTTGTCCTTTGGTCAAATTTTTATTGTATGTCTCAGATTTCTTCTTTAACCCAAATCCTGAGACCTTGGATGGGAGTGAAGGTCATCTAGTATACAACCCCAGCAAAATGCTGAACAGGGAAGAACTCTGTGGACTCAGAGATCCAGTGATTACTGCGACTGTCTGGAAATGGGATCCTCAAGATAGAAAAAATAATGTTAAGAATGTGAGCTGTGGGGGCTGGAGTAATAGTACAGCGGGGAGAGCATTTGCCTTGCACGAGGCCGACCTGGGTTCAATTCCCAGCATCCCATATGGTCCTCTGAGCATCACTAGGAGTAATTCCTGAGTGCAAAGCCAGGAGTAACCTCTGTGCATTGCCAGGTGTGACCCAAAAAGCAAAAAAAAAAAACAAAAAACAAAAAAACCCAAAAAACCCACCCAAACAAACAAACAAAAAACGTGAGCCAGTGACAGAGAGAGCAGTGCTTACTAAGACTGAATCAAAAAGAGGACAAGCATCCAAGCCACTGAGACTTCATTTGTGAAGATGAGACTTTCTATGTGTTGAACCTGCTTTCCCAATAGACAGGCTGCCTATTCAGTGTGCCAAAGCATGCCAGGCTCCTGTCCTAAGGCCGAGATTGGGGTAGGCCAAGAGTACAGATGTAGATTGTTCAGGATGCTCTGAAGATCAGGGTGGGAATCTGCAGAAGCAACATGGGGAGACTGCATCCCAACCCTGAAGCTAGCCTGACACTATGAGGACAGCAAAAAGATTCAGAAGCATCGTGAGAAGCCTAAAGTAGGATCAGCCTATCTGGCTGTGCACAAGTCAATCTCTCAGCTGACGATTCCTGAGCATCTTAGTCTAACACCCATGGGGCCAAAGGGTGATAGCGGGGTCAGGCTGATTCCATAGATTAAAAGCTAAACTGGCTTCCAAAAAGGATTGCTTACATCCTTAGGGAAAGAGCAGGCAAAGAACAAACTAGTGAAGTTGAGTGTGTGTGGACAGTTGTGTACTAAGATAAATGAGTGCTAATATTAAGAATCACAATTTTTAGTGTACTAGAATGGACCAACAAAATGCAACTGAGGCCAGGCAGATGTGACTGTAGATATTGAAACTCAGGACAACTTTGAATACTGTATTACTCTTGTTAACCCCTTTGAGACCGGGTGTGTATTTCAAAAGACAAGGTAGCCAAACAGGAAATGCCATCTTTAACATAAGAGTTTTGTGATTTTTCATTTCATGAAACATTTGCATGAAGTTCTAAGTAAAGACACTGTGGTTAAAAGGCATTTGGAATTTTCTGGAAGAACCGAAGATCGTGAGGCAGCCCTCACAGGAGGAGAAACAGAGGGGAGGGAGATAAGACTGGCTGGATGCAATCCTGAGTGCTATTATAGGTGAGCATTACTCAACTGGGGCCAAAGGACCCTCTCTTATGAGCCAAGATATTCCAGGTGAAAATCATGTGCTGGGTCTCCCATAAGGCTGGGGAGTCAAATGGTAGGATATGCGAGGTGGAAAGGGGGGCATAGGAAACAAGGTTTAAAAGGGTCCACAGTAAGAAAGGGTTGAGAAACATTAGTCTGGATAGAGCTCTGTGCTCTTTCCCAGGTTCTGGAAGTTCTATTCCATGAGTGTGGGTTGAATGGAAGGAAGCGTGTACGTGATTACCTGGAATAGAAGGTTTTTAATTCCTATCTTGGTGATAAGATTGAAATTTTAGTGGACCTGAGCACACTGAAAAGGGTGCTTTCCTTGCATGAAGCTGACCCGGGTTAAATCCCTGGCACCCCATATGGTCTCCCGAGCCCTCCAGGAGTGATTCCTGAATGCTGAGCCAGGAGCAACTCCTGAATACTGCTAGGTATGGCTCCCCCCAAAAAACAAACAAAAAATTGCAATTCATCCTTAAAATGAACTGATAAGACTATGAGTTGTAATTCAACCTTTTTGTATATAAATACTTAAAAAAATTAGATTACTTTTATAACATAGTTGTGGGCGCCATACTCAGTGTTACTTGGAGGCTATGCAGTGCCCGCAATTAAATCCAGATACTCGCATATGCCAAGCATGTTTTCTATAACTTAAGCCCCGTCCCTGACTCCTATATCATTCTCTTGTCTGTTGCAAAACTCCTTTTCTTGTGGAATTGGGATGATTCAATTATATTACACAATGATAGCATTCACTTTTAGCACAGAGAAAAAATAATCTAACTCTGTATTGGGTGGGGGGGGGGTGTTATAGAATAGACATGTTGTAAAGAATTAAGTTGTGTTTAGATGGGGATGGAGATAAGGCATAAAGAGGTAGAAATAGAGAATAAAAGTGAACTTAAGGGGTTTTGGAACTATTTTATTTTCACACGAAAGAATAAATATATATATGGATATATATATGTATTAATGAAAGATGTTCCAATTCATCACATTCTCCAGACTTTTGGTTTGTTTCCATGAATCTGAGAAGCTTTTATTTGAAATTTAAGGAAGTACTGTGGATGTTGATATACGGGTAGTTGTATCTTACTTGAGCTTTTAAAAAATAAGCATTATGGGGACTGGAACAATGGCACAGCAGATAGGGTGTTTGCCTTGCATGTGAATCAACCCCCGGTTTAATCCTTGGCTTCCCATAATTTTCCCCCCAACTCTGTCAGAAGTAATTCCTGAGCACAGAGTCAGAAGTAACCCCTGAGTATCGCTGGGTGTGACCCAAAAAGCAAAAAAAAGAGCCTATATATATATATATATATATATATATATATATATATATGATGGACCAGGAGATATCGGAAGTGGTAAATCAGGATGTGAGTGGTCCCACATTCAAATCCTGATATTTAATTGCATGCTACTCTCTATATTTCACAGCTAGAGTATAGTCTTGATGTTTCTTGACTATTGCAAGTGGTCCCCCTGACCTCCAAGCACAGCTGTTGTAGCCCTTATAAAAATTAATGATTGTATATTCATACAATATAAACCAATATAAAGTAATTTTATAGAGAATTTTAATTAATTAATTAATTTGTTTATTTAGTTTCTGGGCCATATCTATTGTGCTCAGGGCTTACATCTGGGTAATGCTCAAACCATATGTGCTGCTAGGGATTGAACCAGAGTTGGCAACATGCAAGGCCATATGAAGGTACCTTATCTCTTCAGCCCCAACCACTTGATCACTTGATCACTTGACATCCTGTTATTCATCAATTTGCTCGAGCGGGTGCCAGTATCATCTCCATTCATCCCTGTTGTGTGTTAGTGTAGTCCGAATGGCATCATTCAAGGAACATGAGAGCCTCAAAACGATTGTTCAGGGTCTTGACGAAAAAGTCTGAACATCTCATAGGTGGGTGGCAATGCGATCTTTTGACGTCCCATGGAATCCAGTCAGTAATGGCTCTAGTCCAGCGGTTGTCTCTAAATCTCATTACATGTCCAGTCCATCTGATTTTCGACACCTTGGCAAACAAGACAAGCGTCCCTCATTCCTGATCGTCAACGGAGGACGGAACTCTGGATTTTATCTCTTACTTGAGTGAAGCGTGATACTCCAAGCATAGCTCTTTCGATTCCTCTTTGGGAGACCCGAATAGCGTTCTCATCCTGTTTTTGTAGGGCCCCTGTCTCTGAGGCGTATGTTAATGCAAGGAAGAACAGTGGAATCGAAGAGATGTGCCCAAAGCCGGAAGTTCTTCATTCTCTTAGCTAGTTCTTCGATGCTCTTGAAGGCATTCCAAGCCACTCTCTTCCTCCTGTGCAACTCAGGTGCCAGGTCATTCGTCATGTTGACTTCTCGACCTAGGTACACATAACTGTTGCATTCGGAGATGTTCATTTCATTGAGAGAGAATGGAATGTCAGGAACGAGACCGTTTATCATAAACATTGTCTTCTTGAGATCAAGATGCAGTCTGACCTTTCCACACTCATGGTCAAAGTCGGCCAGCATTTGTGCCACTTGGCTAATGTTTGGTGTTATTAGAATAATGTCATCAGCGAAGCAGAGGTGGTGTGGTTGCCGACTGTCTATCTTCACTCCCATTCCTTCCCATTTCAGTCATCACATGACTTTCTCGAGGGTGGCACTGAAAAGTTTCGGTGAAATGGTATCATCCTGCTGAACCCCTCTCTTGACATGGATGATCACTTCCTTGTAGAATGGTGAGATCTTGGTAGTGAATCCGTAATAGAGCTCACAGAGATCCTGATGTATTGAGTTTGAGTGCCCTGTTTGGCTAGGGCTTCAATGACTGCTTCAGTCTCAACAGAATCAAAGGCCTTCTTTAAATCAATAAATGTTAGACAGAGCGGCATCTTGAACTCCTGAGAAACCTCAATGAGCTTGATTATCATGTGGATATGGTCGATGGTGCTGAATCCTTTGTGGAACCCGGCTTGCTCGCATGGTTGTCCTTCATCTAGTGTTCTGCCAATCCTATTCAGGATGACTTGAGAGAACACCTTGTAGATGACAGACAACAGGCAGATCAAGCCTGTTGCCAATGTCGTGGATATCTCCCTTCTTGTACTGTAGTACAGTCCTGCTGATTTTCCACTGGGATGGAACTTTGCATTCAGACAGGTAGCATGTGAAGAGCCGTGCCAGTGTATTGATGAGTACTGAGGGCAGATTCTTCAGGTGTTTGGGTATGACCTTGTCTGGGCCGGGTGCTGTTTGCTTCCTTACCGACAAAATGGTATGTTGTATTTCGAAAGGGAGAACTTTGGGAATGACATATCAATCCTGTGGAATTTGGTATGTGGGCAGGTGGACGTGGCTATCAAAGAGATCTGAGTAGAAGTCATGGATAATCTTCTCCATTGCCCTTCTGGAAAATGTGATAGATCCACCAGGAAGTCAGAGGACAGTCATCTTGGTCTTATAGTTGGTGAAGGACAGGAGGGCATTGTGAATGCTTTCCCCAGCTTCTGTCACATCTGCCAGCACTGTTGCTCTTCTCTCTTTGAGGTCTTCCTTGATCGCGTCAACCTGAGGCTTGCACCAAGCCATGTTGGTGAATGAGCTCAAGAGTTTTCGAAGACAGCGTCTTTTTGTGGCTATCTCTCTCTTGGCGTTCCTCACACAATCATGGAGGTGCTGAACCAGTCGATTGTATGCCTCATCAATGCTGTCAATGATGGCATCTTCCCATGTTGCCACAACAGTGCCAAAGAACTCCCAGTTAGTGGTCACTCTGGGAGTTCTCTTCTAAAACTTTACAGCCCTTTCTCCCTGCTCCGTGAAATAGAATTTTGCATGAAGGAGAGACAGTGGTCTGATCCCGTTTGGAATTTTGGAACAACAGTGACATCAGTCAGGAAAAACTGTTGATTGAATTTAATATGGTCAGTTTTGTTGTGGAACCGTCCTCCACGAGACTCCCATGTCCAGTGTTTAGATTCGGCCTTCTGGAACTGTGAGTTACCATGGATGGTCTTGGTTGACATGATAAACTCAGAAAGTTTCTCACTCTGTTCATTCCATTCTAGGCCTTGGGTCTGATATGGAGTTCTATGGCTGATCTTCTCGGTCCGATCTTGGCATTAAAATCACCGACAATGATTTTGTAGAAGGTGTGGTCTTCTTTATAGAACTTCTCCAGTTACATGTACAACTTCTCAGTTTCTCCTTCATCGTAATTGGATGTTGGTGCATAGACAACAAAGACAGAAACTGTCAGCAGTGAGCCACATCTATTCAAGTATAATCATCCGATTCAGGTTGTTAGGCATTCGAATGAATCAATGCTCATGGCCAAGTTCATGTTGACAAGGACACCGATACCACTGACTCCTCTTTTGTCTCATGTTCCTCCACTACCTCCACTACCCAGCCGCTGCCATGCTCCAGCATGCTTTCTGGATGCTTGGGCTGAGACTCATGCACGATTGAAGCTCCACAGAACCAGGTAAGTGGAACTCTGTGACCTTGGAGTCCAGGCTCAATGGGACCCGGGAACAGAGATCCTCTGCCTGCTCCCACCAGTCTCAGAAGACCAAGGGATTAAAACCAGAAACCCCACCCTACCCTGCCCAGTCTGCTTCCACCAACCTTCAGGAACCCAGGGATTACACACAGAAGACCCACCCTACTGGTACCAGATAAATACCTTATTGGCAGACCTCCATTACCTCCACTACCTCCACTACACAGCCTCTGCCACACTCCAGGATGCTTTCTGGACCACGTGGCCGCATCATAAGACACTTAATACCCACCTTCCAAGATTACTGCACCATATTTTATAGGGTTCAAATATGGTTTGAACCATGGGAACACCTGCAAGGATGATTAGAGGACACCCTAAAAGCCTCTATCCCTCTCAGAGAGCCTGGCAAGCCACCGAGAGTAACCTGCCCGCATGGTAGAGCCTGGCAAACTATCCGTAGCATATTCAATATGCCAAAACCAGTAAATGCAGTGGGTCTCATTCCACTGACCCTGAAAGAGTCACCAGTCCTGATAAAGAATTTTTAATGACAAGGGTACAAGCTAATGATAGATGACTCTTACTTTTTATCTTAAAAATCTTCTATAGTGGCTATATATTAACTTTATAAATGGGGGGGGGGGAAGGGAACTATTAACTAAAAAAATTGATCCCCATCCAGCTGAAAGTGAGCTAATTATTTTCACTTGGCTCACATTTATCTGCCTTTCCTCAGAGATCACCATAATGCCATTTGGTGACTGAAGTTTTCACATATTGCTGTTGCCTTATCATCAGACACTTTATCTACCAGCCCTTGTGCATGAATCAGTGCAGGGTTAGATGTGGAATACTTAGAAAGCCAAATCACTGATGTGTATCTACTCATAGTCAATATAGCCAGATTTCTATGGACCACAATTGTAACAGGATTTATTACAAAGTGGAAATGTTAGAGAAGGTAATTAGAGCAACACAAACCTTATTTTTTTCTTCACGATCCCAAATTCAGATAATTTTATCTTTTGTTGTTGTTATTGTATATGTGTCTAGTTATAGGGTTTTCCCTCAGTTTTTTACAATACTCTTAACAGGACAAATTATAAAGCAGCATCATTTTTAGGTTTCTTAGGTTGTGTCCCAGAGATATCATGCAGGAAAAAGACCTGAGTTTAATCAGCTCTCTTTGCCATAGAACTTGTGGGAATCTTGCTCTCCTATTAAATAAGTGACATTTTGAAAAGGGGGATTGAGTATTAAATGGTGTCCAAACTTACTTTTCCCCAAACATTATCTTTTCACTGAGGTTATGTTCTCTGGGTAGTTAGGAAACATTTCTTGTTGTAAGTTCCATTGATTCTTTACAGAAACCAAGAGTTGTGAGATACAAAACATTTCAGTCTTAAGTGTGTTTTTTGGCTATGCAAGTTATTTCAGTAGTTCATTATTGTTGTTGTACAATAAGAACAAATGCTCAAAGTTTCTAAGTGACAACTTTAGGTCTGGGGAACTCACCTCCAGTGGTGTCTTCTCCAAATACATTTAACTGGTCATCACCCTGTTAAAAAAATGTAACATTAAAATCTAATATCTTGCAACAATGAATATACTTAACCTTGAAAACAACTCTCTGAGGAAGGTGCTATTATTATATACCCTTTAAGGAAGAACAAGCTAAGAATTACAAAAATAAAGTCACCTAGATTCATCCAGGAAGTGAGGGTCAGCATCCAAATATATACCTGGACTATTTTCATAAGTATTTTTGTTATGAGGGATTGAGCCAGGGACCTTTGACAAGCAAGAATGAGCTCTACCTTCCCTACATCTTACTTTAAATTTTAAAAAATCTACTTATTTAAAATTTTATGTTCCTGTTACTTATTACTTTCCCATTTACCTTCTTTGTTGTTGCTGTTGTTGTTATAACTGAGAGTCACACACAGCTGTGATGGCTCACATAATTGTGCTTACTCAGCACTATGAGTCAGACACCCACGTATTTTTTATTGAGGTAATAGTATGCAACACTAGATATATTTTAGGGGTACAGTTTCACATCTCCTCAAAATGTAAGTCACCATACCATGTTCCAAGCCCAAGTACCAGTACTCATTAGTCACTAAATCTCCATCCTTTCAGAACTTTCTTAGGTAATCTCAGTTTTGGGGTAATAGTGGAAGGGTTTGCTTTAGTCTGGCTTTCTTTGTTCTCTTGATTTACTTTTTTATTGTCACATTTAAGTAAGATCAATTAATATTTGTCTTTTTCCTTCTGTTACCTTGGTATGATCCCTTCCAATATACTCCATACTATTGTAAAAGGCAAGATTTTATATTTTCTTACAGCTGAATAACATTCTATCACATATACATTCCCAGCTTCTTTATCCACTCACCAGTCTTTGAAAACTTGGATTATTTCTTATCCAATTTCTTATTACCTTGTCAACTATAACTAGTGTTGCAATGAATGAACTATGGTGCTGCAATGAACAATGGTGTCTATACATGTACATGTATATAATTTGAAGTAGTATTTTTTGTGTTATTCAGAAAGCTGTCTAGAAATATGGCAATTTTTTGCTAGATCACATAACAATTATTCTCTTTAAAAACATTTCAGGGCTGTGCAGGGTGTAGGAGAGGTAGCCTCGGAACACTGGTGGGGGGAAGTTGGCAATGGTGGTGGGACCAGTGATGGAACATTGTGTGTCAAAAACCCAACTATATTGGGGCTGGAGCAATAGTACAGAGGGTAGGACATTTGCCTTGCATACAGCTGACTGGGGTTCGATTCCCAGCATCCTGTATAGTCCCCTGAGCACCGCCAGGGGCAAACCCTGAGTAACCCCTGTGCATCACTGGGTGTGACCCCAAAAGAAAAAAAGAAAACAACAACAAAAAACCACACCCAACTATAGATAACTTTGTAACTCATGTTGCTTTAATAAAATAAAATTTGGGAAAAATATTTCAAGGGCCAGATAGTACAAGAGGTAGAAAATTTGCCTTGGATGTGGCTAACCTGGGTTCAATTTCCAACATCCCTTATGGTAACTCAAGCACCACCAGGAGAAATTTCTCAGTGCAGAGTCAGGAGTAAACCCCTTGCCCCATAAAAGAGAAATTTCATGAAGTCTTTTTACCATTTCCCACTGAGGCTCTAACATTTTACAACCCTACCCGAATAGTAGTACATCAGAGCCACCTTTCTCTGTTCATTGGCAGGACTTATTGTTTCTGATCTTTTGTTATAAGCCATTTCACAGGGGTGAGATAATATCTCACTATCATTTTGATTTATATCTCTCTAATAGTAAGCAGTAATGAAAAAAATTTTTTCCATATACTTACTGATTATCTGTATGCCTTCTTTGGTGAAAAGTCTATTCTATACATATTTTGTTGAAATTATTTTCTTCTTACTGAGTTGTGTGATAGTAATCTTGTGATAAATCTCCTTGGTTAAAAGTACACATGAATAAATAATAGATAGATAAATTTTCTTTGTTAAATGCATGATATGGGAATATATTTTCCCACTTACGAGGGTGCCTCTTCATTTTAATGATAATTTCTTTTACTGTGCATTAGATTTCACTTTGATATGATACCTTTGTTTATTTTTGCTTTTGTTTTCTAGTCTCTGGAATTGAATCCCAAAAAGGTATCACTGAAGCCTATTTGCCTATGTCTTTTCAAAGTATTAATAAGGTTTCAGGTCTTACATCCAAGACTTTAATATGAGTTAACTTTTGTGTAATTATTTCATTCTTTTCTTATAGGGCTATTCAGTATTCCTCAGTATCATTTGTTGAAGAGATTTTCTTTCTGTAATTTACGTTCTTGACTCTTTTGCTATAAATTCACTGCACACATATGCAATTATTTATTTTTGACTCTATTATATTCTATTAATCTGTGTCTATTTTTATTCCATTAACTACTGTTTTGATTACTAAAGCTTTGTAGAATAGTTTGAAGATGGAGAACATGAGGTTTCCATCTTTTTTTTTGTCCAGTACAGGGAATTGAACACAGATATTCACATATCTTCCACTATTTCCCAACTCCCTTCTGCCCCCGCCTTCAGTACTGTCTTGGCTATTAAGGGCCTTTAATAGTTACGATGAATTTTAGTTATTTTTCCCCCTAGTGTTTGGGCGCCACAGCTGTCGATGCTCAGGAATTATTCCTCTGCACTCAAGGAATTACTCCTGGCCGTGCACAGAGGACCATATGGAATGCAAGGGATTGAACCTGGGTCTATGATTAAAATTAGTAACACTTGTCCTATTTCTTTTGGAAAATGGCATTGGGGGTGTGCTAAGTATTGCACTATATCTGTATAATACTTTGGGATAGATTTTTTGGTAGGAAGATCGCTGAGCCACTCTCACTATGCTTACTCCTGGCTCTGAACTCAGGGATTACTTCCTGGGGAGCTTGGGGGACCATATGAGGTGCTGGAGATTGAACAAAGGTCAGCATGTGAAAATCAAGCAGTTACATCTCTCTGGCCCTCACTGTTTTATTGATAGCTCTTAGTCAAAGTTTTCTACTGCGTTTGCTAAATGAGCCCCAAGCTTATTTTCCTAACACATCAATGGTGAGCAGGCTCTGGAGGCACAGAGGTAACTGCCATCATGTCTGCACCCAGGAGAAAGTTCAAGAGAAAGGATGTTTGATTGGAGGGTGTCATTTTTTTCAATGATGCTCAATAAACCCATAGTTCCAATGTGGATCTTTTATAAATCAAATTAATATGCCATTAAAAATACACACACATGAAGTACTGGAGAAATAGTTCAGTGGGCAAGATATTTGCCTTGTACATGGCCAACCTGGGTTTGATCTCCAGCACCCTATATGGTCCCCTGAGCTTCCAGGCATGATACCTGAATGCAGAGCCAGGAATAAGCCCAGAGCACCACTTGGTGTGGCCCCAAAATGAAAAAAAAAGAAAACACATGCACGAAAAAAATGATGCGAGGCAAGCACTTGTGATTTTAGCTACAATGATGTCACACATACTGCAGTAAGCTTATCTTTCTTTTTAAATTCAACACATATTCTGCATGAAAAGAATTAATTTTATGATGGAATCATTACTGTACTGCTGTCATCAATGTCATCCCGTTGTTCATCAATTTACTCGAGTGGGCAACAGTCCCCGCACAGCAAAGCCTGGCAAGCTACCTGTGACGTATTCAATATGCAAAACACAGTAACAACAAGTCTCAAAATGGAGACATTACTGGGTCTGCTCGAGAAAATCGATGAACAATGGGGGACAGTGTTTGTTTGTTTGGGCAACAGTAATGTCTCCATTCATCCCAACCCTGAGATTATAGCAGCCTCTCCTTACTCATCTTTCCCAATGATCATATTGGAGTCTCTTTCAGGGTCAGGGGAATGGAATCATACAGGTAACAAAATGTTCTCAGGGTTTCACTGAGAAATACATGAGAAGGTGGTTACCTTTACTGTCACTGTAACTAAGTCTTCAGTGAGGCATATCTGGAGACCCCTGACCCATAAACTATTTGTTTCCACTCTCAGTGCCCCTGGTTCCTTCTCTGTGTTACAGCTAATCCTTCGTGACCTTTAAATCTGAATTTTGGGTTAGGTTTTGTAGGCACAGTGAAACACATAGATTACTTTCCATAGTATTAAGGTAATACCCCATCAAGTGGAGTACCAAAAATATGAACACATTAACAAAGAGATATATTATCAGTATTAAGTAGATATTCCAGATAACTGCCACTTATGATTCCTAAGTATGGATCAGAACTATTCTGTATGATACAACTAATCATGGTAAAGGTGAGAAAAGCTGTGCAAACCATCACATACACACACATATACACACACATTTGTACCACGTATATTTTGTGCAATACATAATAATGTTGGTGGGAAAATCTAGAATCCTCTTGAAGCAACACAATCAAAATCTCAGGACAGGATATGTGACCTTTAGAGAAACTGCTTATTTGGATCATAGATGGGTTTGGATGTATAGCCCTCACTTTTCAATCACCCATGAGCCATAATAAGAGCAAAAACAGAAACTTTTTGTGTGGATATGTAAGCAGGAGATTGCTTTCTCAAGGTAGACCATTCTGATATTATTTGCAGAGAGACACATTAATGGATCTGATGTTTCCCTTTTTGAGCAAAATTCCTGTTTTGCTACCTTCAGATATAGATGTCCTGTCACTCCTAACCCCTTGATTTGAATTTTTAGTAGAAGTAAAGATAAAACAAAATAATATTAGAGATGGGCTCACCAATTATAAAGAATTATGCTCTTTAACCTACTTTGATTATGCCATTGAGTACATTTATGAGTTGAAGACTGTGTGTGTGGTACTGTCACAAGATGAACAAGTGATAATGCAGAACTGACATGTGAATGATACTTTATATTTCTGGGGGTGTGGGGAGGACATTTCCATAGGTCTGGATTCTTGCTGCAGCCCTCTGGCTAAGGAATGATGTAAGTGAGGTTCTGTGGTGTTACTGAATGGGACTGTGTCTGAGCTTTCAT